AGCACGATGAACGACAATTTCATTTTTTTTTTTTTTTGGGCGATTCTTTCCAACTTGTTCCTTCGTTGAAAGGTGCACTCTGAGGGGTATTTACACATCGCAAGCTGCGCTTTTCTGTTTTCTGCAGCATCATTATAGACAGCTCCAAAGTCTAGTCATGGAAGAGATACATCTGTACCGGGGCGAATTTCAGCCTATCTCCGAGTATCTAGCTCGTGGCATGGAATCATTGGAGCACATGCACCTTGATAATCGACGGAATCAGCAATTGGTCTACTTCGATGCACCTGGGAAGTCACATTTCCCCTTGCGAAAGAGGACACGGTTACCGAATGTGATTACAAGGACCGGGTTAGTGTACGCAAGTTCATCAAATATCAGTTTTGCCAGGGGAGAATACTGCAGAGTCAGAGGGTGGCTCAATGGCGTTGTAAGGGGTCGACGCTCTATGGGCCTACTGGTTAATAAATGTTCTCGCAGCAATGGCTTACACCGTGACATGGTTGGCTCTAAAGTTTGTATAATATCCACTCTCAAGGTCAAGTCTTTTACCATAGAATTTTATATAGCTTCTGATGTATTGTTGCATTATATATATCACGGCAAACTATAGAGATTGGTACTAGAGAAACCGTATTAGTTAAAGCTTTAATATCCAGGAGAATACTTGTCTTTTAATATCTGCACTCCAACGCCATGTGGGCTTACGCCCAGGCTTATTACATAGTTATACACGGCTCATCTGCGTGTTGAGCTTCCATTCTTCCTTGCAGATAGGTTCAAGTGCTTGATTTAAGATTCGTCAGTCCAGATGATATTTGTCCAAACGTTCAGGATCCAGTGTTGATGATCTAGACAGAACTTCAGGCGTATGGCCTTTGCAGCGTCAGAAAGTCCAGGCTTCCAAGAAGGCTGTGCAAAAACAAATCCATGACGTTTCAATATACGCAATACAGAGGAATGAGATATACCAGCTGCAAAAGCTAAAATCTCTGAAGACTTCTCTCTACCGGCTCGATCCTTAATACCTGACTGAATCACAGCGTTTTCAGCCTGTTCACTAATCTCCTTGAGTCAGCCAGTTCGTTGGCCGTCTTCGACAAATTCCATTTTGATCCTTTTATCCTGGACAGGGTCGAATCCCCTGTTCTTTGTACATTTATAGGTTTTCTACATAATTTGCTGGGGAAGTCCTAAAGATACAGCAATCTCTTTAGTAGAGATCCCCCAGGCGGCGAGAGACAGAGCTTGAATTCTTGATTCAATTGGGTGGAATCCCATGGCTCCGAGGTCCTAGGCATCAGGCTGCATACCACAGGGTGGGTCCTAAATTACTAGCGCGGCGCAAGAACTTTTGGTGCACACCTCTGTAGTAGAGCTTTCACACACGTGGCGTTCGTACGTCCTTTCATATATAAATTGTTCAGAATTGGAGGCTAATATAAGCTTGGTTGGGCAAATACTGGATTTCATCATGGCCAACCCTTCCATCCCCAACCGTGAAAGGTCCCAGCGGAATCCTTTAGGCCGATAAGCGTTCCTTAAGTAAATTGTCCGTCTGCCCCAACACCAATAATACTGCAGGGTGGTGGAGGTGAGCTAGACGCTAGCATTGTTGTAGTAAAGACGAACGGCGGATAAAGCCACTCTGCTTTCCGGCCCCCTTTCGATTGACAGGGCTAGTGCTCCGTAGTACACAGTGTTATTTTGTCTATTCGCGTCGCCCGAAAACTCCGGCGCTTTGACGCTCTGCGCCCATCTGATCCCATCTGCGGCTTTCTGAGCGCCCGGGAACAATTATGAATTCATGGCAGCGGAAGACAACGCGGAAGTAAAGCCCTGGACGGTTCTTTCATCATGGCGACGACAACCAAAATACTCCAGCGATCGCAAAACCGCATCTAGCAGCTCTCTGCCATTACCGGCAGCACTGCGTCAGAATTATGGGCAAGGTCAAGAATGGATTGGCGGTGCGCTGCTCTGTACCTGGGGAGCAGGTACCATCCTCGTCCTGAACCTCATCATGGTACTCGTGGCGATGGGGATCAGCTATTCGAGACCGTCGAACAAGGGGAAGTTTCTGTCACTCGAGGTTTACGATGGCGACTGTTCAGTTTCCGGTCACTGGGCCACTGGGCTACATTTGCTCATCAACCTGCTCAGTACTCTGTTACTGGGGGCCAGCAACTATGTCATGCAGTGTCTAGGTGCTCCGTCGCGTTCGGATGTCGACCAGGCCCACCGGCGACGTAAATGGCTGGACATTGGCACCTTCACCTTCCGGAACTTCTCCATAATGGATACTAAGCGAAAAGTATGGTTCATTCTTTTGTTACTGACCTCAACTCCAATCCACATGATGTGAGTAGTGAAATATCTCCAATGGTTGGGCATCAGTAACCATTCGCTTAGATACAACTCAGTATTTTTCTCCTCCATCTCCACACTGGGATATGGAATGGTCCTTATTCCTGACGACTTGACCCCGAGTGAGCCGCTGGTCGCCGATGGAAGACCGACAGATGCCTTCACCTCTGAGGTTGGCACCAGCCCTGCTCATATTCAGGCCGAGATTTTCAATGGCACCTTTACGAACTTGACATTGAAGGAATGTGTTCAAAAGTACAATGTGGAGTACAATACTCACTTGGGCACTCTTCTCTATGTTACCGACAGGCAGTACTTCCATAATGCAAACAGCCTCCAAGGCATACTCGACACTGTGTTTTTGCCGGGGATGATGCTGTACGACTATCTCCGCAGTAGAGAAGAGCTTTCCGCGGACCAAGTGATAAAGCAGAACAACCTGACGATCACTGGCCTGCATTTTGCATATTATCCTTGGAAATTCACCGCACCCGATCTTATTATCAGCACCAACTCGACTCACTACTTCATGGATTCAGCCGAATTCACTTTGAACTCGACATTCGACTTCTACAGCGACGCAAAGCGCTTCAAGTACAACACCACAGCCCATGACCTAGCTGCGCTCTACGATTATCTCGCCGTCTACAACCCCGACCGGCAGGCGCTGAGTACTCGCTTGACTACCCCTACCCATTGGGATAACAGCTCGTGGGCTGCAAACATCACATTTGAGCTGAGCGATTACTTAGTCTATCCCAGATTTTCTGATATAGGCAATATATCCACTCTCGCAGGGGTTCCTGTCTCCCACTGCATGAGCAAGACCAAGGACCAACGTTGCCAGTTATTTTTCAGCCCACCCATCGCCGTCGCAGTGATTGTGTCTAATTTAATCAAAGTGGTCTGTATGTATCTAACGGCTCGAACCAGTCGAAAAGAGATTTTATTGAGGGTCGGCGATGCCCTCTCCTCGTTTCTGACGACACCGGACCAGACGACAGAGGGCCGATGTCTCATGTCGCGCGCAGACGCATCTCATGGCCCACAGCCGTGGCGTACCAGCACTTTCCGGTCGAGGCTCGATCGGCTTGGAAGGTATCGTCAGTACCGTTCTGCGGAGAGTACAGCAGATATACCCCTAGCAAATACACCATCTGAGACCAATCTCCCGCGAGACTATCCAACAATGCTCCCCGAAAGAAAGCGATGGTTCCAGGCTGCCAGTGCTAGACGTTGGACAGCTACCCTCGTTTTGTACGTCTACGTCCATCTTCCATTGAGCGTTACTTTTCTAACCAGTCTATTGATACAGTTTTACTCTCTGCGAAGCAACCTCCATTTTCCTGTTCATCCTGGGACTATCACATGTCCCCGAAAAGTCGATCTCGCAAGCCTGGAAACTCGGATTCGGAAAGGCCACCGGGCAAACAATGATCAACGACCCGCATATTTCAGACGACATGATCTCACTAGTCCTACTAAGCAACACGCCCCAACTGGTCCTTTCCATCCTCTACTTCCTTTGCAACAGCCTATTGAGCTGCATGTTAATCGCCGCCGAATACGACGACTACGCCACGCAGCGGAAACCGCTGCGCGTCTCCTGGCCCCGAGGCCAACAGCGCTCAACATACTATCTAAGCCTACCATATCGCTACAGTGGTCCTCTGCTCGTCTTCTCCGTCTTAATGCACTGGCTCCTGTCCCAGAGCATCTTCTTCGTCAACATCCAAGCCTACGACGTGCACGACCAACCGGACCCGAACAATTCAACGCGCGGCTGCGGCTATTCGCCCATTGCGATGTTCATTTGCATCCTTGTCTCGGGTGTGGCTCTGCTGTGTCTGTTCGGACTGGGTTATCGGAAGCTGAACTCCCGGATGCCGCTGGCAACGCATTGTAGTGCTGCCATTAGTGCAGCTTGCCATCCTCCTCCCGATGATCGGGGTGCTGCTTTGCGGCCGGTAATGTGGGGCGAGATACCGGCGGACAAATCTGAAGGACAAGACCCAGATCGGCTGACGGCATATTATGGTGCTGGCAGTGCTGATTCTGAGGGGATGAAGTATGCGCATTGCGCTTTCACGTCTAAGGAGGTGGTGACTCCGAACACGATACGTTTATATCGTTAGTTGGGTCGGTAGCTTGTCAAATAATTTTTGACCGTATATTAATTCAGTACTAATGATGCATTCTTCCATGTCTGAGATACTACCACGCCTGTAAGCAAAAGAAAAAGAAAAGCAATTAGGGGTGTCGATCCGCGTACAGCCCTGGTTTGACTAAGGTGTAGCCAGTGTAGTCACGTGGTTGTGGGATCTAACCCTCACTATTCATCCAAATAGAGAGGCAAGCAACTTAATATTGTCAGATGCATACATTCCGGACAAAACTACCTCATTCGAAAGATGGGGTCTGGCTTGAGTGTTCAGTTTCATAAGCGACTCGAGATATTTTCAAGGAACCCGACACTTGGAGAGCAAGTCTCTAAGATGTTCTTGGCCGCTATTAGGATGTCTCAACGTCGAGTATAACCGGCAGGATACAGTCTTTTCCGAGAGCCAAGCGGGACCCGCACCAAGGCCCTAGTGAGACCACAAAGGGTGTCAAAAACTTCTTCTCAAAAAACTAGGGACAGCCGTGAGTCGAACACGGGACCTAAAGATGGTTGCAAATGTAAGAATTGCAATCTTCCACTCTAACCACTGAGCTACTGCCCCATTTGATGAGAAATTTGAGTATAAATTAGATTTATATTTATAACGAAAGATGTGGGCTTGCGCCAAAGTTTTGCATCACTTTTGATGAAACCGACGTAAATATCAAAATTGTCAAGTGATAAATAATATAAAATTTAGAAGAGTGAATTAAATAGCTCATAAAGAACTTATTCTGTTGCCAATAGAACCTGTGGTAAAATATAATCGTTGGGATAAAATGTGGATTGTTATCAGAAATGCTGGAAAGTGTTTTTTACCTAGTAATTACTCCTAGGAGTTGATTGGATATAACGTGTGAGAAATAGGCTTGATTCTCTCGATCTAATGAACGAGTGCTGCCTTTTATAGGTCTTAATTAGGCCGATACTTGGTCCATGCAGATTCTCATACAAAAAAGCAATATAGTGGCTGAATCCTGAGGCCTTGACTAAACTCTGGGAATTAGTGGTAATTTTGATTGCCAATGGTTATGCCTGTCCAACATATATACCGAGTCCGGTAGTTTCCTTCATTTATACTGTAACTACCTTCATACATAAAATAATCCTCGCTTCTCATACCACATGACTCAGAAAAAGGGCAAAGGAAGATTGGAGAATTAATTCTCAGCAAGACCACTTAGGAAACAGTATCAATCTATGACTCTTTAATATTTCATGAACCTGGGACAGATAATGGCTAATGGAATTACCTATTACATTATTGACTCTGTGTTCTGGTTCAGACCATCGCAAAATGTGACCTTCTCAGTTTGAAACTTTGAAGAGTGAGAACAACCCGACGAATCGTGCATTGGCTTTCAAATAGACTTACTCTAGCTATTACTCTTACCCATGTAGTTCCCAGTGTATATGCCAGGAAAAACAAGACTCCTCAGTAGTTGATGCTGCAATAGAGACCATAGTATTCTAGATTGATGGTTTCCCGATCCCGTGGCTCGAGAATGGAACTGGGATAGGAAATGATAGGACCAATAAATTGACCGACTACGTGGAATCAGGGAAATCATGAAGACTTAGATAGACCAGCCTAATCGAAGTATCGCAGAGCTCAACATAGGGTCTTTCAGAAACAGGTTGGTGGTAGTACTACATACAGTGAGGGCTGAACATATCAGGATTGTATCACCAACAATCCATGTGATACAGTGCTCGAAGGTCTTGTAAGCTCTGATGTGTCTCTTTGACTCTAGTATTTCGAGTGCAGTACATATATGTTTTCCTTAGAAGGATACTAGGTGCAAATTAGTGAATATCAATGATGGCGTGCCTTGTATCTCATTACGGATGCATCCGTTCTCATAATTTGAATATTTTCGTAATACACAATATATAGAGTACTGTCTGCACAATTCTTAACGGGTCAATTTTGATAAGAACTGTAAATGAATACTAGCGATTCCTAAGTAGTGTATAGATTCTTCTTTTCTATTAACATACGAACCTCAGGGTTGGGCTCTCTTAGATAAGATGACCCAAACGAATAGATTGGCTGATTATCCTGAGACCTGGGAACGAGAAATATGATACCTTAAGAGGGAAGTGTACACAAAGGTCAACCTGCACTACTCGAGTCACGTATCTACCTTTTTGTTTTACCTTTTCTTTTGCTGGGGTTATCGTCTCTCACTCTCCTGGCCATGCCCCCAGAATTTTCAGCGGCTTCCGTCTTACAGTTAACACACATTGTTTATAGCATGTATCTGGCCCATTATTGCCTCATTTGATATGGTTCAAACCTCGGTTGCTCTGTTTGCTCCGCAAACCGGCGTCGAACCCCTGGAACTGCAGCGGTTTGCGCATCTTGTATTGAACTTCGTCCGTCATTTACACCGAAAACTGGACTTTTGAGCGATCAAGAGTGAAATACACAGAAGGGCCTTCGATGTAAATCAAAAATACTGAAGTGAGAGGCATCGGGATCGCGCGTATACTTTCTGTCTAAAACTTAGACATAAATAACGAGAAGCAAAAAGCATTGGAGTCGCCCAGGGATGGTTTGAAAGAAGAAAACGAGAGGAAAGCAAAAGGCATTCAAGCTTCACACACATCCATGTAGGTGTCGGGCCAGAATTTGCGAGCAACACAATTCTTCATTCACAATATCGCCCACAACGTCTTCGGCCTTCCTCTTAGCATTCATCTCAGCCTTCTCCTCCTAGCCCTCTCCTTCCAGCACCTAGATATTCGTCTACTACTCTAGATCTTACCTTGACTATATGCTTCGCCATGCCTTTTTTTTGTTGACCAGACTGCGACCATTGGCTTTGGCCGTTCTAGAGCTGCTGCTCTTTCTTGTATCTTAGCTATAGCAGGCATCAATAGAAGGTATCGAATATGAGGAAACAAGGTAAATGTACCGCAGTACACCAGCCCTCTATCCATCCGAGTATTCTCTCTTGTACGCTGGCGTCGGAGCACCGGTCTTCTGCGTAGCCTTCGCCACAGATAGAGCAAGTAGTCGCCTAATTCTACTTGTTAGAATTGCGCGACCAAGAAGAGATAAAGTATTATATTAGGGGTGGTTTGTAAGGATACTTACCATGAGAGTTAGCTATGCTAATAGCAATTTCTCGCCTGCCATACAAATGAGCTAGCACTAGCTGTCTTGTTGATCTCTTTGGACGATTGATGATAGTGTGCCTCATGTATGTAGCAAAAATCCGAGGTTCTTTTTGTTTGATGGGCGTGTGTACTAGTTAGCATTGTGGTCGAGATCTCAGCTAGAGCCTACAGCCTACGGTGAACATTACCAGTTCTTAGATCAAAGTGAAGTTGATAATTCCTTAGTGTCTGGAATGGAAAAGGAATACAAGGGCTGAAGTACCAATGACATCCCATAGCACGAATAGTGTATTTGCAATGCCGATTAGACAGTAAATAATTAGCAGCGAGACTGCGGATCAACGCTACCGACCAGTAGTTATTTACCACATTGATTTACCCTCCCTTCTCTACTGCGTATACTTTCCTCTACGCTCTCTCCTATGGCTGTTTCCTTCCCTGATTTCTTAGTGGCCTTCGTCCCTGGGATTCAGATACCTCTGACTGGCAGGCCCCCGGACAGCGGTCCCGAACATAAGCCGACCCCTAACACTCTGCTACCGGGGATCGGTTAATACAGCAACATTCCTTCGCTGATTCAAGGGGATGCCTACATCATTAGAAGACCTCTACATATCATAAAATCCGGGAACTAGACAATTAACTACTTCTACGAAATTTCTCTTTGCTACTATTCTAGGCGTTCTAGCTCTACTAAGCCTGCTTTCAACAAGTATACAACGTCACAAGTGCCCTAAACATGGCTTGAAATGACCGATCTCGATAAAAAAAACTGCTCTCAGTTATTGGGACAAGCTGATCATTATTGACAGTGGAAAAGCTCTGTCACCAGATCCCAGAACCCTGTATTCTGTGTCAAATTACTGGATCCGGGGGAGATGGTGGTGTGCTGATCATTGATGGGCTCCAATTTCCGAGCGCACGGAAGGGGCCGTTATGCCCTCCCCCCACGAACCGTGAATTGATTTTAGAATAGCTTAGGAAAACAAACTCAGAGAAGGGATCTACTAATAATATTCATGGAATTGTATGAGTACACGTTGTGATCGGTGTTCAAATGGTGGCTGCATTCCTCGGAAGAAGAGGCGTAAAGTGTGGCTTCCACCATTGCGACCCCTTGAAGTTAAATAGAAGAATAACATTAAGTTGCTGAGAAAGCCTACCACTATCGGTCCTCGAGGTATTGAGATTAAGTCGACTTTTTCAGACATAAGACGTATTGCCAGGCAAGATACTAACCCCAACGGCCAGCGACACCCTAACCACTGTTTACCGAAACCAGCAAGCATTAGGTAAAGGAGGTATGCGTCGCCGAGTGCAAGAATGCCTCGTGCAGAATGCCAGGAACCCGCATATCTTGCGCCCGACATGGGCCTATCCGCATGCAGAGACAACTACAATCGCACCTACATTCCACTGGCATCGCGATGAATTATAAAGGCTGCGCGTTGCACGGGTAGTTCGTGTTTTTTTTTCAGCAAGAAAATCAAATACCGACACGACACGACACGACACGCCACGGGTCATTGAAGATTTCAAAATGGTTATGAGTTCACTTAGGGTTTGGGCGGCTGGCCTTCTCTGCGCGACGCTCCTGGGGCAATGTCACGGTCTGTCCAGTGACACGCATCATCTGGGGGATGATATCGGCTCAGAACTTGGTCGGAGGTTGTCGAGCGGCGCGAGCATTTACTTCCCTGGGAATGAAGCATTTAGTGAAGCTACTGCGCGATGGTCGAAATGGGGTACACCTAACATTAGTGTTGTTGTTGAGGTGGCGAACCAGTGGGATGTTAAGGAGACGGTGTGTCTGAGATTTTTAACGACTGGCTTTCATTACATGCTGATTGATGACAGGTGAAATATGCCAACAAGCACCATGTTCCTTTCATCGCTATCAATGGTGGCCATGGCAATATCGAGACCTTGGAAAATGTCCACCAGGGCATTGAGATTTGGTTGCACAAGCTCAATACGGTCGCCATTTCTGATACAGGAGATACGGCTACGTTCGGCGGTGGTATTCTGTCTCACGAGGTCATTGAGTCCTTATGGGCTGCTGGCAAACAGACCGGTAAGGCTACGCGTCGAGTTTTTACATGATTTTGCTGACAACCTGGCTAGTCACCGGTGTCTGTGACTGCACTGGGTTCCTCGGACCCGCACTTGGCGGAGGCCATGGGTACCTGCAAGGTCGCTACGGTCTCATTTCAGATAACTTTGTCTCCCTGGAAGTTGTCACTGCTGATGGGGAACTCCGAGTTGTCACGCCAAACGGACCTGAGTCTGACCTCTTCTGGGCCCTGCAGGGCGCCGGGCACAACTTTGGCATCGTCACCTCAGTCACCGTTAAGATCTACGACGTAGAGGGCGATGGTGTATGGGCCTTTGAGAAATATGTGTACACTCAGGACAAGCTCGAAGCGCTCTTTGACC